CTCCGCCACAGGCCCACACCCTGTACCGCGGTTGAAACCCAGAAGGCACATCTCAGTGGTGGGGGTTTCCCAGAGGAGTGAGGGGTCCCAGCCCCACATCGGACCCCCAGCCCAGGGCTCCAGGGCCGGGAAGAGAAGTCCCCACAACTTCAGGCTGTAAAAACCAGCGGGGACTGTCACTGAGGGACACAGAAGCAGCAGGAGTCCCAGGTTGTTCTCTTAAAGGGCCCGCACACGGACTCACTCAGAAACATGCTCCCTCTGAGCTCCAGTGCTGGGAAGCAGCTTGAAAGTAACCTGGGACATTTGGGGAGGAACTAACTTGCCTGAAATCAGGGCCAGAGGTGGAGGGGCAGCTTTCTCCCAGACAGAAGAGCTGACAGAGGCCACTGCTCCTTTGGCAAACCCTCCCCACACAGAGGGGGTCTGGGGGTCAGTTCCTCCCAGTGAACCCAATAGCAACCAAGGCTCAACTACAACAGGACAGCCTACACAGGGGAGCACCTAGAAAGCCCAGCTCAGGTGACTGGGGAGGCTGAGTCACTGGACCCTACAGGACACCTACTACACAAAGCCACTCTACAAATTCCAGGAGACATAGCAGCTCTACCTAATACATAGAAACAAACACCTGGAAGCAGCCATAATGTGGAGGCAAAGAAACATGTCAAAAAGGAAACAAAAGAAGAAATCTCCAGAAAAGGAACTAAAGGAAATAGAACCAAGCAAGCTAGTAGATACAGAGTTCAGAATTATGGTTATAAGGATGCTCAAGGATATTAGTAAGACTATTACAAAAACAAGTGAGACCATCGATGACATAATAAAGTACCAATCAGAAATGAAGGCTACAGGAACTGAAATGAATAATAATTTACAGGGAATCAACAGTAGAGTAGAGGACACTGAGAATCAAATCAGCAATTTGGAACATGAGGAAACAAAAACCACCCAATCAGAAGAGCAAAAAGAAAAAAGAATCCAGAAATATGAAAATAGTATAAGGAGCCTCTGGGACAACTTCAAGAGGCCCAACATTCGTATTATTGAGTGCCAGAAGGAGAAGAGAGCAAGAAATTGAAAACCTATTTAAAAAAATTATGACAGAAAACTTCCCCTACCTGGGGAAAGAAATCGACTTACAAGTCCAGGAAGCACAGACAGTCCCAAATAAGAGGAACTCAAAGAGGCCCACAGCAAGATGCACCATAATTAAAATGCCAAAAGTTAAAGACAAAGAGAGAATCTTAAAAGCAGCAAGAGAAAAGCAATTAGTTACCTACAAGGGAGCACCCATATGACTGTCAGCTGATTTCTCAACAGAAACTTTGCAGGCCAGAAGGGAGTGGCAAGAAATATTCAAAGTGATGATAAACAAGGACATACAACCAAGATTGCTCTACCCAGCAAAGCTGTCACTTAGAAGTGAAGGTCAGATAAAGAGCTTCTCACACAAGGAAAAGCTAAAGGAGTTCATCACCACCAGACCAGTACTACATGAAATGTTGAAGGGTCTTCTTTAAGAAGAAGCTAATGAACAGAAGAACCTGACAAACGAAATAGATCCAGAGACACTGATGCATGCAACAGATGATCATATTTCAGAGGGAAGAGTTATGTGCATAACTCATGGACACAGACAATAATGGGGTGAAGGCCTGGGGAGGGCGTGGGAGCGAGGCGGAGGGGGTCAATTGGGGGGAAAAATGGGACACCTGTAATACTTTCAACAATAAAGATTTTAAAAAAAAAGAATTCATACAACTCAACACTAAACAAACAGACAATCCAATTAAAAAATGGGGAGAGGACCCAGACAGACACTTCTCCCAAGAAGACATACAAATGGCCAACAGATATATGAAAAGATGCTCAACTTCATTATTCGGGAAATACAAATCCAAACGACAATGAGATACCACCTCACACCTGTTAGAATGGCTATTTTCAATAAGACGAGTATACTAACAAGTGCTGGAGAGGTTGTGGAGAAAAGGAACCCTCCTTCACTACTGATGGGGGTGCAAACTGGTACAGTCTGGTGGTTCCTCAAAAAATTAAGAATAGAGTTACCAAATGACACAGCAATCCCTTTCCTGGGTATCTACCTGAGAAACTAGAAAACATTTATTGGTAAACATATATGCACCCCTATGTTCATTGCAGCATTATTCACAGTGGCCAAGGCATAGAGACAACCAGTGTCCTTCGATAGAGAATTGGATAAAGAAGATGTGGTACATATATACAATGGAATACTACTCAGGCATAAGAAAAGATGAAATACTGCCATTTGCAACAACCGTGGATCTTGAAAATATCATGCTAAGCAAAATAAGTCAGAGAGAAAAAGTCAAGAACCATATGATTTCATTCTTACATGGGATATAAAACTGAAAACAAATGAACAAACACAACAAACAAAAACTCATAGACACAGTTAACAGTATGGTGGTTGCCAGAGGGGTGGGGGTGGTGAAAAGGTAATAAAGGGTAAATGAGGTCAAATGTATAATGACAGAAGATTTGACTTTGGGCGGTGAACAGACAATGCAATATACGGATGATGTATCAGAGAACTGCACACTTGAAACCTATATAATCTTATTAACCAATGTCACCTGCAAAAAAATTAATTTAAAAAAGAAATCTCAGGAGAAATTAAAAGATATGCAGAACAAAATGAAAATAAAAATACAACTTATCAAAATTTGTGGAACACAGTGAAAAGAATGCTTAGAGGGAAATTTATAGCCTTGAATACATATATTAGAAAAGAAGATCTAAAATCAATCATCTAACCTTCTACCTTAGAAAACTAGGGGGAAAAAGAGCAAATTAAATCCAAAATAACAGAAAAGAAACCATAAAAATTAGAACAGAAATCAATTAAATTGAAAACTGGAAATAAATAGTGAAAATCAAAAGTTGGTTCTTTCTAAATAGATATGAGTAAGCCTCTAATGGGACGAGAGGAAATGGGAAATTGTTCAATGGGTATAGAAATTCAGTTTTGCAAAATGAAACGGTTCTAGAGATTTGTTTTATGACAATATGAATATAGCTAACACTACTTTATACTTAAAAACTGTACTTAAGAAAGGCAACAAGACCCTACCTAGCCAGGCTAAGAAGAAACGGGAGAAGAACACATAAGCAATTAATATCAAAAATGAAAGTGGGGACACCACAACAGACTCCATGGAGACTGGCAGGATAATAAGGGAATTACTACGAACAACTCTATGCTGACAAATTTGATAACCTTGGTGAAATGGATCAATTCCTTGAACCTTGATGAAATAGATCAATTCCTTGGAAGATACAATTTGCCAAAACTCACACAAGAAAAAAAAAACCATCTATGTAGGCCTATATCTGTAAAAGAAATTGAATCAGTAATTAATAACCTTACAAAAAAGAAAATACCAGGCCATATGGATTCGCTTGTAAATTCTAACAAACATTTAAGGAAGACATACCAATTCTTTACAATCTCTTCCAGAAGACCAGAAGCAGAAGGAATATTCCTAATTCACTCTATTAATTCGGGATTACTCTAATATCAAAATCTGACAAAGATATTACAAAAAAATAAAACTAGACCAATATCTCTCATGAACATAGATGCAAGATCCTCAACAAAATATTAGCAAATAAAATCCAATAATGTATAAAAAGAATTATACACCACAACCAAGTGGAATTTATTCCCGCTATGCAAGGCCGGTTCAACATTCAAAAATCACATCAGCCTACTAAAATAAGAAAAGGCTATTGCTATGAGCTAGGTAAAGTTGGTAAGCACATGTACTAGAACACAACTACAAGCAGTTATCCATTTATTCACACCGTGTACCAACAACTGGGATATAAGGAAAGATAAGGCAGACTTCACGCTCTTGTAGAATCTACAATCTATCAGAGAGACAGAACATTGAACACGCAATCACAAGCCCCTATAGCAGGGACTCAACCTAGACTGGACAGAAGTGGCAGGGTGATGGTGATGAAGCACTAACTTGGTTAAAAAACACAGAGCGGTATGGCTGAAGGGAATATCATAAGCCAGGTATATGAAGGTCATGAAGCAAAAGAAAAAGTACAGTATGTTAAATGTACTGAAAGGAATCCAGGTTTAATATCACAGGAAGAATAGAAAAGGATTGCACATGGTTGTGGTTTTGTTGTTTATGAGGTAAAAATAAAAATAGAAGGCAAAAACGTTATGGGTGCCTTACAAAAGAATACCTTAGGTGATGAGCCATATCTAAGGTAGAGAGAGGACTAAACATCTGATATACTTTCAAAAGATAATTTAAAAAACTAAGACGGCAGGAATTGCTGAGTTACACAACTTGAAGGAAAACCTCTCAAGTGCATGCTCTTTCTCTAATTATGCTCAAGATTCAATCTTTCACCCAGCTGGGCATGGCTCAGCGGTTGAGCGTTGACCCAGGATCCAGGCGATCGGGGTTCGATTCCCGGTCAGGGCACATGCCCAGGTTACGGGCTCGATCCCCAGTCGGGGGGGTGCAGGAGGCAGCCGATCAATGACTCTCTCATCATGGATGTTTCTATCTCTCTATCCCTCTCCTTTCCTCTCTATGAAATCAATAAAGATATATTTAAAAAAAAAAAAGATTCAATCTTTCTATCCATTAAAGGAAAACCCAGAAGTTAAAACAAAATACTATAAAAATTAAGCACTTAAAAATTTAACACAGTAATCCTGATGAAGAAATAAATGTTATCCTGGAAAAGATAAGTTTCTAAAATGTATGTAATACAAAAACTTAATTTTGCCTTTTCAAATATAATTTCTGTCACTCTTCACTGTATCTATTTAAAAACACCAATTTAACTATTTAGCCATTAAACATTTTCTGAAATTTCTTCAATGACTTGTAGTATTACTTAATACAAAATTATGTTTCTAGTTAATGTATAATGTTCTAGTTATATTTCTATGATCAATGTTTTATAAAGGAGTTACTTACAGGGACATTAAGTGCATACTGCAGTCCTTGAGGAAGTCTTTCATGTGTTTCCATCTGCTCTTCATCATTTTTCACTGTCTCCTCATGGACCATGAGTTCATCATGTGATATCATATCCTGTTGTCTCATTTCACTTTCTTGTAACACTTCATCTGCAGCAAGGATCTCCTGGTGGGGCAAACTCCGATCTTGAAGTACTGACTCCTGCAGGTCCCCGGACACAGTGGACTGGCCAGACACTCCACCCATTACAACCATCGCCCTGGAAGACTGCATTTCGTCTATGCCGCCACATTTAAGAAATAATCCTTCCAGTTTGTCGTCAATGTTCATGCTTAATTATAACTGCCTAGAAAGACCAAGTTTGGCAACAAAGCATAATAAATTAGTTTTATAGGTCTACTTGATAATTTTGTTAATTCAAATTATGAAAGGTACCCACTTTAATAGAAAAACTTCATTCATATAGTTCAGTATTGCCTCCAATTTTTAAATTACCAAGGTAAGTTTCCATAAGGCTAGTAAAACACAAATTTTCATTTTTGTCTTAAAAGCATACTCTATTTTTATGAAAAATGAGGCTGACATTAAGCAAATTAGGAAAAAAGTATTTGTAATAGTCAAGGATTCATATCCTCTAATATATTAAAATGTCTTAAAATAAAAAGAAATGCATTCATTAGGAAATAAACTAACAGAACATTATCAGGCAAATCATAAAAAAACTTAGAAACAGTCACTAAATACATAAAAGAATAGTCAATTACAGTAGTAATCAAAGAAATAAATATTAAAACAAAGATATCAATATTTCTTCTACAAAACTGGTGATGACTTAAAAAAATTAAGTCCAATGTTGAGGTGGTTTTAAAAAAAACACACTTATCCACTGACAGTGGGAATATAAATTAGTTCAACAATTTTCAAAGGCAATTTGATCTATGTATCAAAAGTCATAAAAATGCACATACTCTTTGAACCAGTGACTATGCTTTTAGGAACCTATTCTGATGAAATCAGAAATGCATAGAAAGATATATACGAAAAATCACTAGTGTTTACAATAGTGAATAACTGCAAATACACTACATATTCAACAAAAAAATGATTAAATATATTCATATGTATGTTTTAAAACTATAGTGATAGCTGCACAAATCAGCAAATTTACTAAAAAATCACTGAATTTTACACTTAAAATAGGTGAATTTTAACTTTATCTCAATAAAGTTTTTCTTAAAAATAAAATTAGAATGGCTACCCTTGGGAGGGGCTGCTGATAGAAGGCAGGAAGAGAAGGATGTCTGAGAGCTGGCAATGTTTTTTCTTGAGCTGAATGATGGTTGCACAGGTGTGCTCAATTTGTAAAATTTCAAGATGTACATCTGTGATATGTGCACATTTCTGTCAGCTGTTATAGTAATTCAGTAAAAAGTCTGTTGAAACAAAAAATCCAGTCATAAAAAACTTCTTTAAAAATATTTTTAAATTCGGGGAAATATCCCAACATAAAGGAAAGGGGTGTGTGTGTGTGTGTGTGTGTGTGAATGTGCACAGGTTTATCTAAAATGCTAACAATATTAACATTATCCACGGGTGGTAAAATTACCAGTTTTTTTCTCATAATTATATTTATCTCTAATTTGAAAGCTTTCTATAATAAAATTTTTTATAAATGTTTTTAAATTTGTTTAAATAAAATAAAAGCAAATTTACTAAATTTACTAATTCGTTATTAATATAGTGTTAAGTAGTTGTACATGATTAAATAAATAGGTCATGATAAAAACTAGACACTATCTTGTTTTCTAGGCATTATCCTTTTTTCTCTATTATAGAAAAGTCGGGCAATATTAAATCCACCCTTATAACTCTGGTTGCTATAAATTCATATTCCATTGTGTTACTCTAGGAACTAACAACAATAATCATGAAACCCAAAGAAACAACATTTCAAAGAAGGTCAAAGCATTGGTACAAAGCTTGTTTTTTTTAAAACCAATTTCTATTATCAGATTGTGTGAAATAAACATACATACCCTATCCAAGGAAAAGGGCCCATAATTAATACACACATTAACTATGTTTCAGTTTAGTCATCTCTTTCCCAAATCAATAAGGTAGGTAATGGTTACTGCCTTGATCATAGCTTTCAGAGGTAAATAAAGGATCAGTTAAATTCAAATACACTACTGAAATCTAAATGCTATTTCTTTTACTAAGGTCTTTATCTAGGGAGAAAACTTTACTGAAATAAATAGCTATATATATATGAACAGCAAAGTAAGCAAAATAAAAATATAATTCATACTTGCTAATCTTGTCTTCCCTGATACCAGGTACAATCGGTCTAGAATACATAGGACAAAGGACCAAGAATCTAATTTCATTTTTTAAAATCTCTAAGTAGCAAATTTAAAATCTAAAGAAAAAATATTTTAAATATACCACCAAATACCCATTCTCTTCAAATATTCTAATTTATCATATTTCTCACAAAATAAACTATCCTCCGACTAAGTGAAACTTAAGTTTTTAGGGCCAGAATTTGCTTATTTTGGCAATTTCTTTGGAAATCCTTACCAAATAAATTATATTCTTCTAATCTATTTACTGTTTTCTTAAAGAATCTGGAAAAGCCCTAATTTAAAAATGACTTATATACACAGAAAGCCATCCTATATTATAATTCTTAGTTGCTGTTACAGTTGCTATTGCCACACAGTTTGTTTGTTTTTTTAAGGAGCTTTTTTAAATATAGGAGATGTAGAAGAAGAGATTATTAAATTAACAATTTAGAGAAACTGACCTAGGACAGAACTCAGTTTTTTAAAAGAAAGTGGCCAAAGTTGAAGCTGACTTATTAACCCAACACAAGGTCTACATTCCCCTAAAGCAGCAGTATCCAAATCCAATGTTTCTGATCATGTACCTCATCGACTTTTTTAAATTTAGCACATCCTAATACATATGACCTTTGAACAACACAAGGGTTGGGGTGCTGACTTCACACAATAGAAAATCCATATATAACTTTTAACTCCCCCAAAACTTGACTACAGGATTGGTTCCAGGACGGCCCCCCTTCAATACCCTTTAATACCAAAATTCAAGGATGTTCAAGTCCTTATATAAAATGGCATAGAACAATGCATACAGTCAGCCTTCTGTACCCACAGATTTCCAACTGCCGATCAAAAATAAGTTTCTTAGGGTTAAAACTTATTTCAATCTATGGTTGGCTGAATCCACGGACGTGAAACCTGGAAATACAGAGGGCCACCTGTATATGCATACTATTTTTAAACTATACAATACAATGTAGACATTAGCAAACACAAAAATATGTATATATTTTTACGCACCTTATCCCTAATATCAGGCTGAAACTATTAGAATTGAGGAAGTTGAAGTACTTTGGAGATAGAGAATATTTTGGGGGGAAAGGCAGGTTTGCATAAAGTGCCAAAGTGAGGGATTTAGAACAGGAAGATAGCAAGCCTCAATATAGAAGTAGTAAATGGAAAGGGAAGTGGAAATACTGTAAATGGAAGATAAAGTTGACCTCTTCAAAAACTTTCTTGAAAACAAGCCATATACACAGCAAAAAGAATTCTCTCTTCCTTTTTTATATATGGGTTCTTATTCCTATGACTCTCAAACAAAGCCATACACTTTGAGTTACTGGCTTAGCCTAGAAACAGTTTTTAAGACAATTTTCTGAAATACCAGAAAATACTAAGATAACATAGATTTCAATATCAATGAACAATGCTCTGAAGAAGGTTTTAAACTAAGCCTTGGAAATATCTATCAAAACGAAAACGACGTGTACCCTTGACCCAGTGACCTCAATGCTAGGAATATATACAATCCTATGGGCTTATTCATAAAAATTAACCAAAGGTATATGTACAAGGAAGTTTGGCACAACCCTTTAATAGGAAAAGATTGTAAACAACTTAAGTGTCCACTGACAAGACTTATTATGATTCAACCATACAATGACATGCACATAGCCATTAAAAGGAATGAGGTAGCTATAAGTGCTGGTGAAAAGTTCTCCAAGATATATTAAGTGAAAAAAATCCAAGAAGAAACATAAACAAATAATATGACCCATATTTGTATCACATACCTCAGCTAGTGTCTGGGCAGAGTAAGCTGAACAGGAAATGAAACAAGGCTCTCAAACAAAAAAGTTAATTTCAGCAACCCTATAGTAAAAGGGAATAGTACAACAAAATCCGAATACAACAAAAGGTCCCATGCTCAAAATTTAACACAAGATACTTCCCTTCTTTAATTTCAGTATTTTTAGGAAGGACTAGATGAGTGTAAAGAAAACTCATGTAATCAATTCACATTTAGATGTGAACAGTTAAATGTCTTTTCCTAATATACCTTGAAAAAAGCCAACTGTTGCACTAGCTGGTCTGGCTCAGTGGTTAGAGTGTAGGCCCATGGACTGAAGGGTCCCGGGTTAGATTCCGGCCAAGGGCACGTACCTTGGTTGCAGGCTCGATCCTCGGCCCCCAGTCGGGGCTCATGCAGGAGGCAATGAGTCGATGTGTCTCACATTGATGTTTTCCCCACCTCTCAGCCCCCCACCCCTACCTCTCATCCTTTCACTCTCTCTGAAAAGCAATGGAAAAAATATCCTTGGGTAGGGATTGGAAAAAAAAAAAAGCTAACTGTTTTTGACCCAAATGTCTGTACAATTAATGAAAATTCAGGAGATAGGGACATTATACAGGAGAAAGGAAGAAAGAAATAATGCTTCTTTTAAATCATGTCACATGAAAGAGTGGAAGATAAAAAGAAACAATTTGCATTCCCAGGAGCTGCTGGACAACTGTGGGGGGGAAAGGACTAAGTGGAGTAATAAAAAGCTACGCCCAGCCAGCATGGCTCAGGGGTTGAGCTCTGACCTATGAACCAGGAGGCCACAGTTCCATTCCAGGTCGGGGCACATGCCAAGGTTGCAGGCTAAATCCACAGTAGGGGGCGTGCAGGAGGCAGCCGATCAATGACTCCCATCAGTGATGTTTCTATCTCTATCCTTCTCCCTTCCTCTCTCTGCAATCAACAAAAACATATTTTAAAATAATAAGCAACCCTGAGCTCCTTCAGATGACCCATTATCTTATAAGTGAAGGGAACTTGGGCAGCTGACAATGGTATAAAATGGCAGAGCTATTAACAGCCAAAACAGGATAAAAAATGAAACCCAAAGGCAAATTCAGCTAAAGGTGGGATGGTACTCCTGGAGTTTCAAATTAACCAGAACAGAAATTGTTAAAAACAAGAACAGAAGAGGAGAGAGGAAGAAAGGACAAGGCCCACCGCAGGGCCAAATTCTGCTAAATGTCACTTTAGCAGCTTATTTCTAACACTACATTACTTTACCCTTTCCAAGTTTTATTCCTCCTCATCTCCAGCCCTCTGCCAGAGAAGCCAAAAGGTACAGCAACAGAGATATTTAGGGCGCCACAATACAGCTTCCTGCTCCATTGAAGTCCCGCTCTCCCACACACCCCCCACCATCCTTCCCCAGTATAAAATGTTTCGTTCAGCTACGTAAAAGCAATCTGAATTACCGTGGGTTATGTAACCCTTAAGAGAACATGAATTACCAACCATCTCTCTCCTGTCTTCCAGAAGAGACAGCTTCTTCTTTTTGTTGTCACCGTCTAATTTAATGCTTCTAATCATCTATGTACATACAATCAGAAACTAATCTTTATAGACTTATAAACTGAAATGGAGTAAATAAGCTTTGAGCCGGGGCGTTTCACAAGGAACTAAACACGTGGGCTTTTAATACAAGCATTTGCAACAATTACTTCCTAAACTGAGGGGAAGGACTGTTAGGCTTGTTTTCAGAGGACAAAGGTTAACAGAAGCATAACATATGGACAAGCTGGGCATTACTACTCATTTTTAATCAGCTACACAAGGCACTTAAAATGCTTATTGAGTTCTTTTTTTATGAAAGTTCTATGCAATTAATGAGAAAAATATCTTTCCACATTTGTTAATAGGTTTGAGTCTGTATTATGAAGTTCAGAGATTATCGTAATGTGGAAAGCACTGTGCTGAGCACATCTGTGTATTTTACTTCACTTAATATTTACAATAACACTCAAGAAAAAGTATATCTCCACTTAAAAAGTGAAGAGCCCGGCCGGGCGTGGCTCAGTGGTTGAGCATTGACCTAGGATCCAGGAGATCGAGGTTCGATTCCCAGTCAGGGCACATGCTCGGGTTGCGGGCTCGCAGCCAATCAATGACGACTCTCTCATCATTGATGTTTCAACTCTCTCTCCCTCTCCCTTCCTCTCTCTGAAATCAATAAACATATATTTTTAAAAAATAAAAAATAAATAAAAAGTAAAGAAAGAAAAGCAAAATCTAAGCATATCCTGCATTCCAAATACTCATCCACAAAGTCTTCTAAAACAATGTAACAAGAAAATAATGGTATTTAGAAATATTAAAATATCAAATTTATGGTAACTAAAACTGTTTAAAGACACAGTTGTAATTTATCTTAAAAAGGAGTGAGGGTGTGTGAAAAGGTTCAAGTAAAAGAGAACCCTACATTCTACTGGATCCAGTTGTTTCATCCATCACATTTTATGCCAACAATTCAAACACCAATATTAAAAATATTTCTTCTATTAGGAAACTATGAATTTTCTACAGTCTTGTATAATAAAAAGATTATCAAAAATACTTCCTAAAACAAAATTTCCGCCCAGGCCAGTGTGGCTCAGTTGGTTGGAGCATTATCCTATTCACCAGGTCACACACACATAGCTTGTGGGTTCAGTCCCTGGTTGGAGCACGTAAGGGGCATGTACAAGAGGCAACCGATCAATGTATCTCTCACATCGATGTTTCTCTCTTTTTCTCTTTCTCGCTCTCTCTCTCTACCCCTTTCTCCCTCTTTAATATCAATTTTTTAAAAAACTTCCCTGTACACTATGGACAAACATTAAACATCTAAGTTCTTTTTTGTTAATCCTCACCAAGGATATCTTTTACACTGATTTCAGAGACAGTGGAAGGGAAGGGGGGGATAGAAAGGCATCGACTCCAGAGAGACACACTGGTCAGTTGCCTCCCACATGCATCCCGGCCTGGGCATCGAACCTGCAACTGAGGTACATGCCCTTGACCGGGAATCAAACCCTCAACCCTTTGGTCCACAGGTCGACACTCCAACCACTGAGCCAAACCAGCCAGGGCAAAACACCTAAGTTATTTTTAATATGTACTATTAGAGTAACCAAGACTCACTCCAGAACAGAAAAGTGTGAACTACTTAATCCACAACCTTTCATTTTCAAACATTAGATAAATGCTCTTACTTTAATACTACAAACCCTATTTGTGAAGTACAATAGCACTAGAGATACATTTAGTAATAAATTTAAATCAATAGTTCCAGTATAAATACTGTATACAAGTATGTAAATTTATCAAAACTAATTGCTATCTCAAGTCTCTTTACAAAAATACTAAGGTTCATATATGTTGACAAAATATGGTAGAAAACTGACAACTAGTTTCCAACTCTTTAATAAATTCTGTAATAGAAATATAGAGTATTTGATACTTTTTTCAAAATACAGTATTTACAACAGGACAAGAACCATAAAATGCAATGTCAATGAAATACATTTTATCTAAAAGGAGCAATTTAAAGTATATAATGTCTTTGAGAATAAGTTATTCTGATCATATCTAAACATTTAAAATAACAGACATTTTAGAATTAGAGGAACCAGTTACCAGAGCCTCCATACAATCTTGACATTATTTACAGGGACTTTTCAAATAAATACATTTCTACCTTTTTAAGCTAACTCTGTCATAGTAGCCAAGTCTATATTTTAACTAGTATATCTAATATAAATGATTACTGAATTATCTACATAATTGCTTTTTTATATTAGTATAGGCAAACATCACAATATGTACAAATATACAGTAACTAGTATGTCTTTTCACATTTGAAAAATTATATGCTAGAGACCATTAAATTTTATTAATAAGTCTAATTTTCCCACATATGAAAACAGATTCCCTGGAGCCCTGGCTGGCATGGCTCAGTTGGTTGGAGTGTCATCCCGTAAACCAAACGGTGGCATGTTCAATTCCTAGTCAGGGCACATATCCAGGTTTCCAGTTTGATCCCCGGTCAGGGCAAGTGCAGAAGGCACCCAATCAGTGTCTGTCTGTCTACCTCTCTCTCTCTCTCTTCCTCTCTCTAAAATTAACTTTAAAAAAAATAAAAATAAATACTTTCCCTGGAAATCCTGAAAAATTTAATGTAGGTATATATATGTGTTGATGACAGGTAGGTGAAAAATATAATACCCTAAATAGCAAAAGGGTTAAATAAGAAAACTTTCCCACTTATATTTCTTAAAATTACATAACAAAATACACATGTTTTTCTGTGTGGAACTAAACTTAAAATCCAAAATAATATAATAATTCTTCAATTTTCTCTTAACACTGTTTTTTCAGGAAAAAAAATTAAATCCCAAATTTCTATCAGATATAAATACCAAAACATAAAGAAACTACTGTACAAACTCAACATGAAATCCTAGCATCCAAAAAACTGATTTCATATTTGAAAATTTTACTTATTCATGATTATGAAAAACAAATATTAAAGTTACCTGAGACTAAGGTAAAACTGAAGACTTCAAGGATGGGAATGCTGTAGAGTTGAAAAAGAAATCATGGTTGAGTTTCTACCTTTCATAGGCTTCAGTGACCCTGAATACCACCTTAACCACTTATGCCATCCGATTCCTACAAAAAAAAAAACAAACACACACACAACGAACAAAACACATTACTTATGGAGGAAAAAAATACTGTACAAATACAACGTGGAAAAATTGGTACCAATAATGATATAATCACTCTTTATAAATAATAAGCTATGCCTGAATGACCAATGCAATGGCTTGCTTTTAATCTGAAACTGGGAAAATATGAGTGCTAAGTAGTAACTGTGATATAACCTTGGCCTTATAAAGAATAATTTGCCCAGATCTGGAGTTTACAGATTCAGAGATACAGGACGTTGAAGGAAATTCAGAGGATTACAGACCTAAAAGGTTAGAAAAGAGAAAACAAAGATTAAGAAACCACTTAATAACACTATTCATATCTGCTTTGTAACATCTATGAAGAGAAGAAAGCAGCAAACATAATACCAAGCCTAACAAATAACAAATAGAACTAGTCATGTACAGAATGCATGTTTGTAATCGCAATAGAAAAGATCTAGTTTCAGAAACATAATCAGCAAGGTCATCTCTGATAGCAAAAGTTGACAAAAAGAGAATAATCATAGAGAAACTGTGTACCATATCCAAAAATAAAAACCAAGACATAAGCTATACACAAGAAAACTTCCTGACAGTATTTCTGAGCTTAGTAAAAGACTAAAAAGTTTATAGAACTTCCCACCACAGAGTTCTTCAAAATACTAGATTCCTATCTATCAAGAATAATTCATTATGTATTCCTTCTCAGGAAGCTTGGAGACCAGATGATATATAAAAAGTCTTATGATTTTCTATCAATTTTTACAATGGTGCAAAGGCAAGAATAGTCTTTCTTACCTAGAACAAACCAGTAATAATTCTATCTTTGAAATTCAGAAAGTAGAATACTAAATCACTTTTTAAAACCATTTCAATATTGTATCTTTATTTTTTAAAACTTTAAATTGTAATGGGCTATTCACCCTTAGTACCCTTCTATTTCTCTTAATCTGTTTCTCTTAACACTGTTTTTTCATGCATGTCTATTTTTCCAGATAAACTTTTTTCCCAAAATAAAATTAGTTTTCTTTCAATAGGAATAGGGTTGTATCATATATAAATGATAATAAAATGACAACAGTAACAATAACCTGGGCAGGAGGAGGAGGGAGTGACAATACAGCATTGCTCCAATAAATTATCTAAAATTCCCAGTTTTTAACAATATATTATAAGATGTATATTTTTAAAACAGGAAAATGTAACCCATATTAATGAAAAACAGCAGTCATTACAAACTGTTTATGAGTATCCCCAGATGTTGGCTTAAGCAGATATTTCAAAACATCTATTATAGGTATGTTAAAAGTAAAAATTTTTCAAAATTTTAATTATGAAAGCAAATAAGCCATAAAGAGATCATCAATAAGGGTAAAGAAATTATGTAGAGGAACCACATGGAAACTCTGAATTTGAAGAAAAATAAAATATTTACTAGAAGATTCAGAAGTGGATTCAAGATGGCAGGAAAAAAAAAATCAATGACCTTAAAGACAGACACGTCAGGAGCAGTTACCCAATCGAAAGGCCAGAAAGAAAAAGGATGAAGGAAACTGAGCAGAGCCTCAAAGACCAACTTACCGTCATTTCTGGAGTCCAAGAAGGAGAGTAGAGAAAAGGCAGAAAAAATATTTTTCAAATAACATACCCCCCAGAAATATCCCAAATTTAATTTTTTTGAAAGAAATCAAATCTGCAGGTCTTAAAAGTTCGATAAATTTAAAGTAGGATAAATTCAAAGAGACCACACCTAGACATATCATAAGCAAACTGTTGAAAACAAACTCAGAAAACTCTAGCAAGCACAGAGACAAATTATTCAGCATATGCAGGGAACCACCAACACGATTAAGAGCTAACTTTCAATCAGAAACAATAAAGGCCATAAGAGTGGCATCACATATTCAAAGTGCTGATGGGAAGAGCTATCAACCAAGAAGGAGGTAAAACTATCCTTCAAAAATGAAGGATAATATGGTCTCAGATAAACTAAGGCTGAGAGAATTTTTTGCTAGCAGACCTGCCTAATAAGAAATACTAAAGGAAGTACATGAGCTGAAAGGAAAAGGTACCAGACTCAAATACACAGGAAGAAAAGAAGAACACCAGAAATTGTAAAAATGGTAAGTGTGTGGGTTAAACAACTATAAATACAGTCACAAGCCACATACAACATTTCGGTCAATGACAGACCATGTATATGACAGTGGTCCCTTAGGATTATCATGGAGCTGAAAAATTGCATACAGTGAGGTCACAGCTGTTGTAATGTAGCACAATGCAGTACCAGTACCTACAGTATTCAGTACAGTAACATGCTGTACAGGTCTGTAGCCTAGAAGTAGTAGGCTATACCATATAGCCTTGGTGTGTGGTAGGTTATACCATCTAGGTTTGTGTAAGTATACTCACTCTACATTGTTAGTGCAACATACCTGCATAACACATTTCTATGCATGTATCCCCATCATTAAGTGACACATGACTTTATTTTTCTCATTTCTTCTCTTAACATCTTTCAAAGATATAAGACTATATAAAGCAATGATTATATCATTGTATTGCTGGGTTTACAGTATATACAGATACAATATATATAACAATAATGGCACAATAGTGAAGGGAGGAAATGGAGCTATACTGGCGCAAGGTTTCTGTATTTTACTGATACTGAGTTCGTGTTAACATTAAGCAGATTGATAAAATGCGCATTGTAAACCCTACAGTGACCACAAAGAAAATATCTTCAATTATGTTTACTAAAAATAAAAATAAAAGAATATGGCACAAAAAAAATATTTAATAACAAAGGAGGCAGTAAAGGAGGCACAGAGGAACAAGAACCACAAGAAACAAAAAACAAGCAGCAAAATGGCAGGTGTAAATCCAACCATGTCTAGAATTAAATCTGAATGGTCTAAATAGCCCAATAGAAAGGCAAAGTCTTTCAGAATGGACAAAAAAAGGACTCAATTACATGCTGTCAACAAGAGACACACTTTATATTTAAGATCAAAAGAAAAAGATGGGGGGAAAAGGAAATACTATAAAAACAGTAACCATAAGAGAGCTAGAATAGTTATATGAACATTATCTAGACTTTAAAACAAATATTACTAGAGACAAAGAAAGGTATTCCACAATGGTAAAGATTCAATAAACCAGAAAGATATTATAATTATAAATGTACATTATAAATGTACACCTAAAAACAGAGCAGAGCCCCAAAATAATGAAGCAAGAACATCACTGAAGAGTAAAAAATAAAAATAAAAAATCAAACAACCATAGTGGAAGATTTCAATATCCCACTCTAAATACCTGATAGAATAACTAGACAGAAAATTAGCAATACAGAAAACCTGAACTGTACTATCAATCAACTAGACTTAACTAGCATATATAAAAAACTCCAGCAAACAAAGGAATACATATTGTTTTCAGGCACACACGAAACATTCACCAAGACAGACAAAATGCTAAGCCATAAAACAAGTCTCATAAATGTAAATGAGTGGAAGCCATACAAAGTATGTTCAGAATCAATTAAATTAGAAACTGGAAAATCCTCAAGTGTTTGGAAATTAAATTTTACACTTCTAAATAATATATGGGTCAAAGAAGAAATTAAAAGAGAAATTAGAGAATATTTTAACTGAATGAAAACGAAAACAAACATCAAAATGTATTGCATGCAGCTAAATAAAGCAGTACTTAGAAGAAAATTTACAACTTTAAGTATATATTTGAAAAAAAGTCTCAAATCAATAACATGAGCCTCCACCTTAACAAAACAGGAAAATAGTAAACTAAACCCTAAAGCATGCAGATGAAAGGGAATAATAAAGATCAGAGCAGAAAGTAATAAAATACAAAACAGTAAATTAAGAGAAAAACTTGGTTCTTTAAAAAAAAAAAGCTGAAAAACTTTTAGGTAGACTGACCAAAGTCAAAGAGAAAAATACACGAATTACCAAAATCAGGAGTAAAAGAGAGGACATTAACACTAACCCCCTGCCCAATAAAAAATTTCAAAAATCTAAAGAATTATAAGGCAAGGAATATTATAAGCAAATTGATGACAAGTTAGAAAAGTTTTATCAAATGGAAAAATTTCTAAAAAGACAGATATTATCAAAACTGACTACAGATAGAAAAATCTGACTATGACAAAAAAACAAACAAACTGAACTAGTACTTTAAAATCTTCCCACCAAAAAAAAAAAAAAGATCAGGGCCAAATAGCTTCACTGATGAACTCCATCAAATATTTAAAGAAGATATACCAATCCTTCATAAACTCCTTCACAGAACAGAAGAGGGCACATTTTACGGCTCAACCTATTAGACCAATTACCCTGACACCAAATTCAGACAAAGATAATACATGATAACTACATACCAATGTCTCTCATAAACAAAGGTACAAAACTGCTTACAAAATATTGGCAAACTGATTCCAGCAACATATAAAAAGACCTATACACCAATACCAAATAGAATTTGCCCCATGAACACAAAACTTAAAATTTGAAAATCAATTAATATAGTACACCATATTAAGAAAATAAAAGACAAAAACTACATGGTTATTTTAATAGACACAGAAAAAAAAGCATGTGAAAAACTTAATAGCCATTCATGATAAAAACTCACCAAACTTAACACTAGAAGAGAATGTCCTCAAGTTGTTAAAAGGTATCCACAAAATACCCACAATTAACATCATACTTGATGGTTAAACATTAAGTGTTTTTCTTGTAAAAATCATGATGTCCATCTTAACCACTTCTATCAACAATGAAGGTTCTAGCTAGTAAAATAAAGCAGGCATAAATAAATAAATGATAAATAAATAAATAAACAAATAAGGCATCCAGATTAGAAAGGAAGGAAAAAACCTGTCTTTATTCTCTAGTGATTGATTCTGTATGTAGAAATTTCCCAATGAGTCCACAAAAATGCTACAAGAACTATTAAGTTCAACACAGTCTCGATACAAATTCAGCAAGGTCACAAGATCTTAGATCAATAAACAGAAATCAATGTATTTCCATAGTGAAATGACAGCTTTATATCTTATCTTCCTCTCAAAAAATTTGAATTGATTCAAATTTTCTTTCTTATCCTTCAGTAGAGCTTCAAAAATTTCAAGTAGATTGCTCCCAGGCACTTTATCTTTTTAGTTGTTATTGTGAATGTATACCTTTTCTTCCATTACTAGTCCTGATGTCTATTATTCTTATAAAAAATTACTTATGCGCCCTAGCCAGTGTGGCTCGGTTGATTGGAGCACCGACCAATACACAAACGGTCCCAGGTTTGACTCCCAGTTGGGGTACCTGTGGGAGGCAGCTGATAGATATCTCTCTCTTTCTCTCTCTCTCCCTCCCTCCTCCTGCCTCTCTCTCTAAAATCAATTGAAAATTAATTTTTAAAAATTAATTATGCATATTAATTTTATAAGCACTTCCCTTAGTGAATTCTCTTAATACTATCAATACAAAAACAGTCAGGCAGATGAACTGAATAGAACTGATTTCAGAAACAGCCTGCACCCCATTAACATGGAAATTTAATATATGATAAATGTGGCATTTCAAATATATAGAAAAGAAATACATCATTCAGTAATAAGAAGGGGGCAACTAGTTAGCTATCTGGAAAAAAGTAAAGCTGGATGTCTACATCCATTTTTTATACCTAATATTTTCTATATAACAAGATTTTAAACAATT